TTCTAGTCATATGAAAGTTTAACTGATCACTGAAATGGAGACATTATTGGAGCAAGTCCAGAGGATGGCCACAAGGATGATCATGGGGCTCGAACATCTTCTGTATGAAGACAGGCCGAGAAAGTTGGGCCGTTCAGCCTACAGAAGAGAAAGCTCCGTGGAGACCTCATAGCAGCCTTCCAGTATCTGAAGGGGAGCTATAGTGATAGAATCATAGAATAGTTAGGGTTGGAAAGGACCTTAAGATCATCAAGTTCCAACGCCCTGCCGTGGGCGGGGACACCTCACACTAAACCATGCCACCCAAGGCTCTGTCCAAGCTGGCCTTGAACACTGCCAGGGACTGGAGTATTCACAACTTACCTGGGCAACCCATTCCAGTGCCTCACCACCCTAACAGGAAATAACTTCTTCCTTATATCCAACCTAAACATCCCCTGTTTAAGTTTAACCCATTACCCCTTGTCCTATCACTACAGTCCCTAATGAAGAGTCCCTCCCCAGCATCCCTGTGGCTCCCCCTTCAGATACTGGAAGGCTGCTATGAGTTCTCCACGCAGCCTTCTCTTCTCCAGGCTGAACATCCTCAACTTTCTCAGCCGATCTTCATATTGGAGGTGCTCCAGTCCCCTGATCATCCTCGTGGCCCTCCTCTGGACTTGTTCCAACAGATCCATGTCCTTTTTATGTTGAGGACACCAGAACTGCACACAATACTCCAAGTGAGGTCTCACAAGAGCAGAGTAGAAGGGCAGGATCACCCCCTTTGACCTGCTGGTCACCCTCCTTTTGACACAGCCCAGGATACAGTTGGCTTTCTGGGCTGTGAGCACACACTGCCGGCTCATGTTCATTTTCTCATCAGCCCGAAAGGGATCTTCATTAGGGACTGTAGTGATAGGACAGGGAGTAACGGCTTAAAACTTAAACAAGGGAAGTTTAGATTGGAAATAAGGAAGAAGTTCTTTACTGTGAGGGTGGTGAGGCACTGGAATGGGCTGCCCAAAGAAGCAGTAAATGCTCCATCCCTGGCAGTGTTCAAGGCCCAGTTGGACAGAGTCGTGGGTGATATGGTCTAGGGTGAGGCATCCCTATCCATGGGGGGGGTTTGGAACTAGATGATCTTAAGGTCCTTTCCAACCCTAACAATTCCATGATTCTATGATCATTTGCCTCTCAATCAGCATGAGCACTAAACTACATCTACTGAATACTACTTTATTATTAATAAAGTTTCCTATGAATAGGAAAGAAGAGAAGAAAATCTGAAGTTTATTTTGTTTTCTATTCTTTAAGGCAGATAAGGAAGTCAGGAAACTAGACAGGAAACATACAGGACTGATTACTGCTGCTTAAATACAAAACCTAGAAAACAGCATCAGCACACAGTAACAGAACACATTCAGATGCAAATAATGCTTTAAAACAGATAGATAATAACTTTTCATATAGCTTTACATATTCACTTGATTAAAAAAATAGAAGGCTTTTTGTTTGATTTTTAGTCATACTGTTTTTCTCAGTTTCTAGGTAGAGCTTTAGATCTGACTGACTAGTTTCAACAAAACCTGGCAGAAAAAATTGGTTTTGGTCACCCCTGGTGTGCAGTGAAAGAGAAAAAAAAAAGACACTGCTGCAATTGTGCACCATGGAGGTAAAAGCTTCAGCGGCTGTTCAGTCATCAGTACAGCTGCCAGGTTGCCCATCAAAAGACAAGCAGCCATCCAAACCATGTGCTGCCTCTTGCCCTGGCATCATTTAAAGAGCCTAGGATGGAACCAGGCTTCCTGCTAAGTTAGGTGGAAAAAGAGATCGGAAATGGAAATCAGGCAGTATATTTCACTTCTTGAGAAATAAAATCTTTTACTAATGCCTAAACATAAGAAATAAAAGGTTTTGTTTCTTTGTATTTTACAAACAAAAAAATTCAAAACCCATTACGTGAAGCAGGTATCTAAATAGCACAACACTTGCTTCATTCAGTAGCTAAGATAGTGCTTTCCATTTAGTATGCTTAGTTAATTTTTCTCACCTCAAAACAGATTAAGGTATCGTTTACTGAATTACTAAATTCAGTAAAATTAAAAAAGTAAAATTAAAATTTAAAATTAAAACTAAAAATTAAAATTAAAAAAATTAAATTCAAATTATTTACATTTTATACACAGGATGGCAGGCATTACTTTCCAATGAGCATCTATACATTGTTCATGGACACAGTAGGAGTGATTTCTCAACAGGAATTACCCCATCCTCACAGCATCCTCACAACTAACAGCTCTGTTATTCCCATTTCACACACCAAAAATAGAAGTGCAGGGAGGTTACTGAAAAATGACCATCAGTTTTGAGATAGCTGAAGTCAGCTTTTGTCCCTGAATACTTCATACTATATAGGTGTACTTAGGAACTTTGAGTTCTGTAAAAGTTATGAATACTAGTCACTTGTGCTCATCAAACTCAATATCCTGACACCATAAACACCCAATTAAAAAGAGCTAGAGACTGCATTAAACTCACTTGAACTCTGACATTACATGGTAGTACAGGGTTTCCCCACATTTAATGCCATTTGGACTCCTTTTTAAGAATTGAGAAAAAAACTATTTAAAAATACTCTGTGACAAGCAGCTATTTATGTTTAGTAATGCATTCCAATGGTTAATTAGTCCAGTAAGAACACACCCCTTATTTGAAGTCTGAACTTGCTTAATTCTGCTTCCAACCACAGAACTGTGGTATACCTTTGTCAGCTTTTATCAAATACCTCTTCCTCAAGCAGGTACATACTGACTAATGAAGAAACCCTTAACATTTCCTTAGCTAAGCTAAACAAAGTAAGCACCTTCCATCTTAATTACTAAGACTGCTCTCCCCTTCTGTCAGTCATTTTTAGGGCTATTCTCTGGAAGCTGATTTTCTACCGCCCTCCCTAGACTGTTAAAAGCAGACATATTGCTCCAGTAATGTTTATAGCTAGGTAAATTATACATAACCTCCTTATTTCTGATTCCCTTGCCCAACTACTTTTAAGTTTTTCACCAGACATTTTAGCTACAGTCTAAAAGGATTGACTTCAAGTGCAACACGTATCAGTCGTCAACTCCAAATCTTTCAGTCTCAGATTGAGTCCCACTAGTTGTCCAACTCAGTATTCAGTGGCACTGATTCAGCCATGAAATAAGTGTTACATTATTTTTCATGTGTCCAGGTCACTAGTGATCTAAATCACTCTGCAACCTTACTAATGTTTTTACTCCCAAATTTATATTTATGATTTTCTAGGTAAGTAAAAACATCTAAAATAATTCTAACACAGTTATTTACGAGAGCCTTGAATACTGTGTACCCTTAAGTAGCAGCGGTTAATGCAATATATGCAACAGCAGTCTTACCTCTAGCATGCACCAGCAATTGCATAACACACCCCCATGTTAGGTTTTACATATTACTCATACACAACCTTGTGTAGGGATCCATGGTTGCAAGAAATCAAATGTATAGCCACAGCCCTCCTAGAATTCTTAACATGAGTTACTACAGTTTATTTTGTGAAGTAAAATTAAACTAATCTTTAAAATACGCCAGAACCAACCCACAAGCAATGTGTGTTAGAGATGGCAATAAATGAAAATACAGCTGAATTTCCATTGGATAAATTGATGGAAACTTTTAAATGTTCAAGCTTTATTTTCTTCTTATGTAGAATGAATTAGGATCACAATCTTAGGCTACTTCATATCATCTAACTGTACAACTTTTGTGAATATTAACATTGTCCCTCTGACTAAGCAGGGTAACAGCCCAAACTGTCAAAGGCTCCAATTCAGCTCAGCTCCATCATTTTAATGAAGAGAAAGGGGGGAGCAGGGGGTGTCTAAAGGAGAAGAAACCAGAGAAATAGAAAAATAGTATCTTCCCATACAGCTTCTTCCTTTTTTCAAAAGGCTACATAACATTTTCCCAAAATATGAGTGCACATACTTACAAACAATTCTCTCGTGTCTTTTTAAAGCCCTGTAAGTACTATGGGGTACATTAAGTAGGACACTGTCTTTTGTACCTGACTTTAAAGGCCAGGGGGTTTAATCTTCTCCATCAAAAGTGTTTAGAAATTACATAGCAGAAGGAAATCCATTATTCTTAAGTCAGCCAGTTCCACATCTCTGATGTGTACACTTCTGGTATGATAGCTGCTGTGACCGCAGGAATGCCAGAGGTAAAAGGCCTCACCAGCCTTACTCAAGCTTCTCTCTTCAACTTGAGTGATGAGTAGGTAGATTACCCATAGTAGGAAATAATTCCAAGAATTAAGTCTCAATGACATCTTTGGAGTTTATATGATCCTCTGTGGATCATATAATAAAGGCACACACACATACTTACGCAGCTTACATCTTCTAAAGCACTTTTCAATCAGTTCTACCCAGTCCCTACCTGGAGTGATTGTCTCTTCCTTTTTGTTTTATGGGCAAGTCCACAGACAAGAATTTACTGTGCTGTTACTGCCCTTACACCATTAATTAGAATACATTATCAGTTACAAAAGGAATTCAGGCTGCTCATAAGCTTTCTGCTCTGTTTTCTACAAGCTTGAGTGGAAGAGACAGATCTTCACCTTAGTCAGAGTAAGCACTAGTTAGAGCAAGCATTGCATTAGAAGGGAACCATCAGGGAGAACAGGATTTAATGGCACAAAACAAAGTAAGATTTAAAGAAAAGAGGGGAGGAAGGGGAGGGAGGGGAGCACTGGAACACAGCTGGAGATTCTTGTAAACCCTTTGTTGAGGACCTAAATAAAAAATAAAAAACAAAAACAAAAAAAAACACCAAGCAGAATAGCTACTGTTCCCCCATTCCCTAACTACTATTCAGTTGGTACCTACTTGAAGATTCCTGATAGAACCTTTTTCTGGTTTTCATCTTCCTGTCATTATCATTCTTCTCAGATTCCATTAATTGATACTGTAAGGCAAAAATTTAAGAAAGGAAGAACTTACTGGTATTGAGAACTCCTCCGCCAAATACTTCAACACTGATGCTCCTCTAGCCAAAAAGTTACTTCTCTCTATCAGGTTGCCTTGGAGTTTTGTATCAAATTCCTTTCTGACAACTGAAGCAATAGAATCAACTATTATGAGTTTAACTTTCTTTGAAATAATTTCTTCTTCCAAAGACGTAATCCTGAAAAGAAAAACAAACAAACAAACAAAAAACAACATAAAAACCTCCAGTCATTGATAATACTATTTACACAATAGAGCCATTTTATACCCTAATGCTGTTTAAAAAGGTCTACTTTAATAACCTGGAAGTTTTTCCCCCTCACACACAACCTCCACTAACATCTGCATGTGTTAAGAGATTGAGGCTCAGTAGGCCACAGAACCAAAACCAGGACCTTTCTGAAAGAGAGCTTTGGAAGAACCTCTGGTTAGCAACACTGTGCAGTACAACCCCTGAATGGCAGACAGCAAGTTAAGTGGACACTGAAAGTATGCATTTTTGCTCACAGTATTTCATTGCCAACACCAGAATCCTTGGTGTCTACATATGCATAAGGTCAAACCCGTTTCCAAAGACAGTATGCCAAAGCTAATCCAATGATAGTACACTATTAGCTGTTCTCTAATAAAGCTGCACTAGAAGTTACTCTTAGCATAATTCTCCCACTAACATAAAACACACAAGATGATGCTAAAATATAATTCATTCTCATTGCAAAATGTGTTCACAAATTAACATAAGGTAATAACATGACTGCCAGCAACAGCATTCGGGCTGACAACTGTTAAATGATTCCTCCCTCCCACTGCTGGAGGGGTCCCAGTCCCCCAGAAGTAAACTGCTTTGGAGGAGCAAACACCTATTTCAGGAAAACATAACTCCACAATTCAAGACTTGACAAGACCTGTCATATGAACACTCCCCTTTAAAGGCTTACAGGGATTAGATCGTATAGAAATTGTCTATCCAAAATCAGGAAACATCAACTGGATTAGTCATATGGCATGAAATGGGAAGAGCCAATGTTAGTCTTTCCATAGCGATTTTACTTTGGAGACCTTGCTGTTATCAACATGAAAGTGCCTCCAAAAATATAACTTACTCTTCACAAAACTTTGATATCAAACAAATACTGTTATAAACAATCCAGTCAAAAATTGTCTTTTTTTTTTTTTTTTTAAACTCTGGTAAATAATACCTCTTCAGTACACTGCCACAGGTCAGCTCTCGATACAGGTGGATGCTACGGGTCATGCAGAACAGCTTTTCTTCCGAGTCAAAATAAGTAGGGAATCTGTTCCCTGCTATCTCAATCAACCTATGAGAAAAACAGAAGACATAACACTGCAAAAGGAACAATGTGGGATAACAAGCATCAAGTATTCACAAAGCAAACCAAGTACACCTCTGAATGATGAGCAGATACCAAGTAACACTGGAAATCTTTTTCAAAAGAGAAGCATACTTTCGCAGTCAAATTGAAATACTTGAAGTCAGAACACCTGTGTCCTGTTCCTAGTACAAGAGGCTCCACTCAATGGCCAAGCATTTTCCTATTTTAAATATTATATGTAACTATTATTTTCATTTAAACAGAAGTAATTCAAACCATCTTCCCTTCCACCTTTATCTTGCAGTGAAATCATAAAGTGGACCTTGTGTCACCACAGAAATTTAACAAGCCCACAACAAACAGAAGATCTATTACAAGATCAAGCCAATATGGAAGTGGGACTGCAAAGAACAGAGCCCACTTCAACTGCAAGTACTTATACAAGCAGTACATGCATGGAAAGTATGCCTGCAAAAGTGAAAATCTTTTCACAGATAATCTCTCTTTAAAAACAAAAACAAGGTCATTTGGATGGGAGACTTTCATTGAAACTATTTCCATTGTGCCAGTTACCTATTTGTAAAAAAGGCTCATAAAATATCTAAAAATACATACTTTAGAGCATAGCAAAAAAACCAAAAAACCAAAAAAATCAGCATTGTGTCACAAAGTGACTGAGGCTCTAGCTGCCAGGCAGCTACAACTGAACATCCATCCATTCAGATAGCACAGGTACAACTGGTATGACTTGATATAATGACTGAACAGTTTAAGTGTCTGCTTCGCTGACAGAACTGAATGTGGGGTTCCATGATTAAATGTTCTCCATTACCTTATTAGCAAATTCATGACCCTCCTAAACCATGAATTATAATTGTTAAGCACACTACTATTTATCATGAGAGTAAACTAAGGAAGCATATCAGATAACTCACGATAACACCAAAAGAAGTCAGAAGAATTTGGGTATTTTTATTTGTTGTCAAAATACTTTTTTATTCAGAAACTAAGCATTGAAAAAAAAACCTCTCACACAGATGTAAAACTAAACAATTTACTGATGAGACACCAACATTTTCAGTTAAGTGAGATTTTATACATAAAATCGAGGACATTAAATGGTATATGTTTCAGAACTGCTGACTGCCTGCTCACTCTTTGGAAGTCAGTTGGAAGAGGTTCCACCCCTCTGAATACAATGCAATTTTATCCAGGTCCTTAAATGAATGGTACAAGAATTTAACTTAGAAACTTGTAGTCACAATCTGAGCACTGTATTCTCTCAAAATGAAGATTTTTATTTTGCAATGACAAAATACTTAATTGTTTGTACTTGAAGCTGATATATCCAAGTGCCTCTAGCTTGAGAAGAGTGGCATCTAGTGGATGATATCTGTGGGCACAACTTACTGGTTATTTTGATGTTTTTATTTAGGCATCTTTCGTTAAAACCCAAAATGTCAAAGCTATTTTAGAAACACGATTTTAAATCATTTTTATGTGATTTAAAAATTAGAAACAATAAGCTTGAATGTTAACATACCTACCCTGAGCAAGTAAATTTGTTACAATAGTCTGAATTTCATTCATTAGATAAATTACTACATCTAAACTTGTCCCACAGAACTTCCAGGGGCAGAACCTGGTCTTTGCATTTGCACAATTAATCATGCACAGAATATGATCTCTGAAATTAGGGTAGAGGCCCACGGGGTTGAAAAATCCATTTGTTCTCAGCTTTGATTCACAGAAATTTGTACCTAGTATTCCTTTTTACAAGCAGGAAGTACAGCTAGAGAGAAAAGCAAAACCAACAAATTATTTTCAGACCTTCTAAATAAGTCTGGTGTGTTTTCAGTTAATAGCTGGCTAGAGTTGGACTGAATTGCTGCAAAACTGATGACGACAATTTTGATTTCCAGACTTACTACGGCCATTCCACCTAGCTGCCCTAGTGTCTGTGTTATGACAAAGCTGAATGATGGACGCTGTCTCCACTGCTACAGCTTTCTCTTACATTCAAGTAAAAATAATACAAATTACAGAAACCAGTGGCATACGTTAGAAGACCAGCCTCAATTCTGACCACTCTGCTCAGCATTTCTATTAAAGTAAACTGTCACATTAGAGAATAAGTTATAAGACTACGAAAGTTTGTGGAAGCAAAAAGCTCCTGCACTGAAGTAAGACCTGCCAGACAGAATGACAGAAGAAAAGTGCCTTTCAGCAAAGGAAATAAAATATATGGCTTTATACAGTATCTTTCTAGAAGCAGAGTAGCATTATAGGCAGTATGACAGCTACAACTTTGCTAGTCTCAGCCCTAAAGAGCAGCAGGGATACAAACCCTTCTCAGGTTTTCCATAAAGGCTTTTGGTTTTACATAAAAATAGTGCCAGATAAACGTCTCTCTCCATCAACCCCTTTAAAATAAGTTGCTATGAAATGAGTATTTGCCCCCTTAACCCCAGTGTTTAGAACAACAAAACCAAAATCTCTTCTACTCGCTACCTATTAATAACACAGGATTACAGAACTGTAAGAAAATTCAGGTTAGGAAGAAAACTCAGGAGACCTCCACAGTAACATCCTGTTCAAAGTAGTGTCAGCTATGAAGTCAGAAGAAGGTGCTTGAGGTCCCTAAGGATGGAAGCAGCACAACCCCTCTAGACAACCTTTTCCAATTCCTGGCTGTTCTTCTGGTAAAAAAGCTGCTCCATATATCAGCACAGAAATTGATTTCAGTGTATGCCTGCTGTCCCCCTGCCACGCACCACTGTCCCATCACCTTGATCTTATTGGTAGAGGAAGGCTGCTGTTAGAACCCTCTCAAAGCCTTCTCACCTCTAGACTGAGCAAGACCTCAGTCTTTCTGCAAAGGGCAAGTGTTCAAGCACCAACCACCTTGGTAGGGCTCTGATGAATTCCCTGCAGTTTGTCATGTCTTTCTCATACTGAAAGCCCAAAACTGGACACAGGATCTACACGGTCTAACAGGTACCAAGTAGAAGGGGACAAGCACTTCCCTCACTCTGCTGGTGCTGCTCCTTAGGGGTTGCAGCACATTAGGTACAGCTATCATTTGCAACTAAGCAATACTAAATATTATTTAATACATAAACATTCTCATCCTTAGTAATAATGTTACTTTTACCACATCCTTTTTACATCCTACTCTATTTTCAGCAGTTTCATTTTCACATTCACCTGTTTTCTATTGGTTAGCATTCACTTTTAAGCAACAAGTTTTAACTCATCGACTGGGTCCTTAATTGTTTATCTGCATTCCCTATCTGTATTTCAGGGACCTGAAATAAAAATTAAGTATGTACAGTATGTAAGAAGGGAAGGAGCACCAGATTTTGCAGAGCCATTGCTTGAACCGTTGTTTTTTTTTCTTTGCTATATTACAGTTCGGGTTAAAGTAATTAAAACTTTTGTGAAATTAAGTTAACAAAAACAGGATTAGAAACCCCACCTTTTCATCCATGATAACTTCAAATGATTAAACAATGCAAATAGATTTGCTTTGATACTCTGAATTCAGGCCATGGGTATAACTACTAAGTCATCTGAAATACAGAAATTATTTCAATGAATCTTCTACTGCCCATTTTGCTACACAGAGATGAAAGTACTGTACTACTTGTCCTCCCCTACATCATTAACTTTTGAACTAATTCCAAACAGTGACAAGGGAATACACATCTCAAAACACTGAATCCTCATGCTTTAGAAAAGTTGGTAACTAAGTAAACTAAATTAGAGCTACCTTTAATGAAATACTGCAGAATTATTTCAACAGTTAACCAGTCACCAACACATGCATTCATCTATAACTCTCAAGCAGATACAGCATATAGCATCTCCTGTCCATTCAGCAGTAAGGGGATACTGTAGGTGTACACATGAGCAGTTTTGGTCACATGGGAAAAGAAAGACATACTAGAAGAACCAGAGATGTTACAGAGGGATGGGAATATAGTACTGCATGACCACTAAGGATGTAGGGGAGAGGATAATGCAGAAGGAAATCAGAAGTGCAGAAGGGATGGGGGCCCCACTCAGCAGAAACAGGATAGAAATCTGAAGAAAAACTGGCTATGTCAGTCCTACTGTTCAGACAAAAACCTCCATTTCCTTTGTATTCAACGTGTTGGGCCTTTACATCCTCAAAACCTTCCTGGTAACTCCACAAACTAAACTGCAAAGAAAGATTTCAGGTACAGGGCTGATAAGATCATTTATAAATCAGAGAGTGTGCCAAGCACCTCATAATTCCACAACTGGAATCTGCTTCCTAATTATTATTAATCATACAAATTAGGAAGTTGAGCAAACCATTTTAGTAAATTACTTTTGTCACCTACAGAATAACTGCACACATCAGATGAATGGTTAATAATTAACATATGTATTTACTTAAAAATTGCTTAACTATTGCTCAGAAAATAATTGAAGGCTCCAAGATAAAAGATGCTAAAGAAGTTGGAAGCGTGTGTTTCAGAATTTTGCACCTTACCTCTCAGCACTGAATGCAGACTCTGTGTCAATGTATATAACAGCCCCATCTAGTCCTCCCATGCTTACAGGCAGTGTAGCCAGAACACATGCCATAATACAAAACTGAGTTTTGCCACAACCTGGTGGGCCAGTTATCTGAAAGAAAAAAAGATCAGTAACGTAAACAAGAGATATCACATTCATTTTGAATTCTACTTTTAGGTAAGACCCATCAGCCAGAACACCTCAAAGTTTGCTCTACCAGCTACCAAAGGAGGCCACAGCCACAAAGAGAATGGAGCCCACAAAGAGCAACTTGCTGTTACTCTCAGATCTGTGCCTTGCAGTCAAACTCATCACTGAAGAATAAATAGCTCTTGAGACACAACGTTATGTTTGTGTTCATTTCTCTGACATTCTTTATTATGTAACTCTCATATTTGAGGCTCTCTATTCCCATCCTCCTCTTACAGGATATTCCCCAGAGCCACAACTAGTTCTCTTCCATCTCCTTCTCTGTGCTACCTTCTAAAATAAAGCAGAATTGGAATATTCACAGTTGACATTCACATGACATCAATGGCCTTTAGAGCTGAAGAAGTCCAGAGCTAATGAGTTCACAGCTGTAAACGACTGCTTAGGAATCATCATTACCTTGGTTACAACCAGGTCTCCCTTGGAAATCACAAGTGTCATCACTTATCTTGTAAAGACTGAATGTTCAGTATGAACCTCATTTATACATAAGACAAACTTTATCTGCCCAGAGACTACACTCTGCTATGTAGCATGTGCTTTGCCATTGGCATTAGCTCCCTATTACCATATTTCAAGAATGAACACCATTTAAGGTTCAGACTAGCTTGCCAATTTTAAGCTTCAACCTGTGCTGACTGAAAGCTTACTGCGGTTAAGCACATGCAAATACAGCACACTCAACTTGTGTGAAATGGTTCCAGTACGATCCAAGAGAAAAGCCACAAGGATCAAAAGAACACATTGTTTGAAGAGACCCAGTTTCAGAGAGCAAGATTTTTCTACTAGAGATTGCAGCATGCTGTTCTTTATCCACTGTAGATCTTGCAGAGATTGTAAATGAATGCTGGGCTCTGTGTTCAGATAATCACATGTTCATCACTACTACAGTGGGTCTTTAAATACCGTATCACATTGTCACTGCTTCTGGGAAGGGAGACAATGATATCTTAAATACTAAGAGGGCTGAAAAATCAGCAAATGCAAACTTGAAGTGACTTTAAAACCAGAGAGTGATGAGTTCATTCTGACTCCAGTAGGGACTAAATAATAATGTGCTATAAAAGTAAGCCACCCTGCAGAAGTTAAACTGCAAAACATAGCATACCTTCTCAAAACAGTGCTGCCAAAGCAAAGGCTTAAAAACAGAGCTGTTCTTTTAAATTAAAAAAGAAACCTTTCAACAGAAACTCAAAATCAAACTGATTTTCTATCCTAAATGCACAATAGTTTAAGTACAAACACCCTTTCCCCACGATACCACAGTATCTTTACAGTATTGTTTTAAGCAGCAGCAGCATGACTTGGAGCACAGAAAATGTACAGGGAAACACTGAAGGACTGCATTAGTTACAGTTACACATTAGCTACTGTTAACAGTTGGTTAAGATACCTTTAATCGCTTTTGTCTTTAAACAAGGTCTGAAAACCAAGCCATATCAGTCAACCTACTCCAAACTTTAATGCAAGAGAAGCATTAGATGATTTTTGTTTAGAAGTACACACTGCATTTAACAAATTACAGAACAGGAATCAGTCAATAATAATTTATGCAATTATCTGTCCTCCATCCAGGGTACTTGGATTACAAAATATATCAACAATAGCAGCCACATTTTAATATTAACCCAGAGCATATATAAAAATTGCAGAGGCAAAACATATCCCTTAGCCTGTGATAGCCAAGCAATCTTACCAGCTGTTTCTATTTAAAAAGAAGATTTGAAATGAATGAGGGGAGGGCATCAATCCAGTTGTTAAATTAAAATGTTCAGACAACTGTGCAGAGACCTCATAAAACATTTGTAGTTTCAGCCTTGGCTGAGAGATGCATTGGAAACAACATTTATTTCAGTGACTGATGCAGGAGCTAATTCAGAAGAGATGCTGTAAAAATGTCCACGGATACAAGCATCCTATCAGAGAAAGACAGGGAATTTTACAGTATGAGGTAGAATAAGGAAAAAAGCCAATGAAGCAAGAGAAAATTTGTATTCCCAAAGACAACAATACTTCATCTTTCAACAGCATTCCTTTAAAGGGCATCAAAATAGGCTTTTAAATAATCCACAGTAAACAATGTTAAAGAACTACCACATTTAATTATAATTAATGCTGATTCAGCAAGTGCTCTGAACACTACAATCTTTATTTAAAATAACAAGCTGAAATTCCTCTACCATAATTTAAACTGAATGTCTGTAAAAAGTCTGCTTAGTTTATTTTATTCTAAATTTGCTCTGGAACAGCAAAAAAAAAAAGGGAAAAAAATTAAGTCCACCCAGATAGAAATGTGAAGACTGCAACCATTTTTCATTTATCTCTGCTAATAAAATATGCTTTTATTTTTCATTAAGCTACATATTATTTTCTCTGGCACATCTGTAGGGTTTGGACAAAATCACAAGGAGCTAATTCTTCTTCAGCTACCAGGGGTTAAACTCTTCAGTATTCACAAAGCCATTACCTTAATTTTTCCTCAGAGGAGTTGGCCAAAAGCTGACAGCTGACCACAAAATTTCAGCTATGATTTAATTTCCAACTCAAAACCTAATAGTGGTTTGGGGAAAAAATGGTCTGAGACAGTGTTACACAAATCAAATCCCTCTGGCACTCAAAAAGCAAGCGGTTTTGGCTGTAGAAGGTACTCCCACAAGTCTTAACCCTGTGGCTCATGTACTCAAATTCCAAGTTTCCAACCACCCTCACTGCTGGGTAAAGTAACAGGAAGACAATGATTTAGCCACACCAGTCAGGAAGTGACTCCTGCATACAACCTATTTTTGAAAACAACTTCTTTCAGAATACGTGTCTAATAACAAAAAAGGGTAATCTGCTGGTCAGCTATGCTCCAGTAAACTGCAAAAGAGCAAATTAAATTAAGTTCCAAAAATCAATCGAATCCAAAAAGAACACAACCTGGAAGTTTTCACAAGCTGCAGTACAGCATCAAAGCAGCAGCAGCAGACACTTGTCAGCTTTCTACTAAAATTTCATCCAGCAATCATGCTAAAGAACACTTGCAGTGCTGCCAAGTACTTCAGAACTCATGACACTCGCAACCATGCTTTAAGATCTCCATAACCAGGCTTTAAATGAGAAACTCTGTTTTTGCAGAGTTAATTGTTCTCTGCCTTTACGTTCCTGAAGAAACACTCAACACGTGCCCTAATCACTTCACACATTTAGGACCTAAAAGGCTGCAAAATGAAAGCAACAAACTTTTTTTTTTTTAAAGACATCTTTAAACTCTTAAATTAGTCATCTAATTTCTGGAGTCTACCTCGTTCTCTCTACAACATTTCTAATTAAACAGTTATTATGCATCAATATTGTCAAACTGGTATGAGGGTGCAACCAAGATCAAGCTACCGGTAGAATACAGAGCCTGCAGTTCTGGGCTCATCCACCAGATGTCTTGTACAGACATCAACATCTCAGACACTTCGCGACATCACCTAGTGAAGGTAACTGCGTCAGGCAGGTCTCCATTTCTAACCAAAATATGTTAGAATACAAAAACAAACGAAAAAAAAGACCAACCAAACAAAACAAAACAAAAAAGTTTGGGTTTGTTTTGGTTCTTTTTTTTGGGGGAGGGGGGGGTGTCAGAAAAAAAATTACAATGGAACACCTTTCCTGTTGCAGTGCTTTTCACTTAGATAAAAGGTCAGTTAGATAAAAGTTCAGCCTATCTTTGAATATATTCACTTCCCCAACTACTTTTAAATACATTGATATATACAGAGTATGATCACTCTTAAAATAGAAGCTAGTAACATTTTCTCAGATTTTTTTATATCTCAAAAGGTTTTTAAAACATTTATATGTTTTAAGGGAACACTGAAGAAAAAAGTTAAAATTGAGTATTGTGATAATCAATCACGCTGAGAGGTATTACAAATTACAGAGCTCTGGAAAACTTAGCATTTGCATTTACTTCCTAAAGAGCGGTATTTTATGCCATCTCAGGAAAATTATACCAGACATCAATGTTTTGAGGTCAACTGCTTGCAGAACTCGCTTTCAAATAAAACAATAAATAAATAAATAAAACTACATCAAACCAAAACCTAGAACTCAAAGGTTAGCTGAACTCCAGTAAAACTCCCAGCATGTCAACCACTTCTTTTCCTGGATGGCCCTTGGAGCAATGCCATAGAATCATAGAATAGTTAGGGTTGGAAAGGACCTTAAGATCATCAAGTTTCAACCCCTCTGCCATGGGCAGGGACACCTTGCTCTAAACCATATCACCCAAGGCCTCGTCCAACCTGGCCTTGAACATTGCCAGGGATGGAGCATTCACAACCTCCCTGGACAACCTATTCCAGTGCCTCACTACCCTAACAGGAAAGAATTTCCTCCTTATATCCAATCTAAACTTCCCCTGTTTAAGTTTTAACCCATTACCCCTTGTCCTACCACTACAGTCCCTAAGGAAGAGTCCATCCCCAGCATCCCTATAGGCCCCCTTCAGATACTGGAAGGCTGCTATGAGGTCTCCATGCAGCCTTCTCTTCTCCAGGCTGAACAGCCCCAACTTTCTCAGCCTATCTTCATATGGGAGGTGCTCCAGTCCCCTGGTCATTCTCGTGGCCCTCCTCTGGACTTGTTCCAACAGATCCATGTACATGGCAACTGGCAAGCTTAGATCTCTCTGTGCTCCAGAGCTATTCTACCTGGTCTTCAAGCAGGAACAGGTCAGACAGAGACTGCACTGCTAGCTGAGCGATAGCTATGCTTAGGATTAAGAAAAAAGACATTCATGACATTCAGCAGCCTTGTAAGTTAACTGCATGGTTCTTCTGACTCAAAAGGATCACATCCACTTTTTTTTTTTTTTAATTAGGGAAAAAATATTCCAGGATCCTTTAAGGCAAACTTCTACACTTTGGCCATCTTAGTCAAAACTGCCAAGCCACAAAAAGGAAGGGAAAATAGGTTGGGTTAACCTACAGAAGAGTGACATCCTTGTTTTGGGCACCACTCATGAGCCATTCACAGGCTGAAGGACAAATCAGCACATCACAAAAAAGGCACATCTCTGCTCTACTTCTTTCTCCTACCTATGCAGCAGTGGCTCTACATTTCAACTAAAGAAGCACAACTCGGAAGTTTAAGGAGCCTAAACCATGAACAACCATTCTCTGCCTCCACTGAGGAATAGTGGACCGAATGGAAATTTCAGAAAGCCAGGTACCAGCTGCAGGTGAATACCATCTCTTTCCAAACATATGGTGTGCTATTTCATCAGCTGACTGCATGAAAAATAATCCAAAATAAAAGGAGTCAAACTACACCTAGTGCAGCCATTGCTTTGCTGATAAAAATATTTTTAGGCACTAAAATCTAACCTCCTGCTGAAAGACTCTATCCTCAACAGCAGCACAGTTATTATCTCAGGATCCTACATATCCCACTGCTACGTATAAGAACAGCTTGCTCTTCTTCAATGAAAAGGAATTTAGCCAGTCTTTTCTCCCAGAATTTAAAGACTTGTAGTATTCATTTTAAGATTAAATTCTTTCAACCCGATTTGCTTACAGTAAACTGGTAACAAAACTAGGCCTAAATAGGATGAAAATAATAATTGTGACAGATCAATGTAAGTCCATGGATGGTTTCTTAATCATTTTCATGAAGACCTGAATGGTGTATTTTCCTGTACATCTTATAAAAAAAGAAATACTTAGAATCTTTAAAAAGTAATATTCCCCCATTACCTATGAGTTTACTAGAGCAGAAGCTGTTACAGTCTAAACTCAGCATTGCTTAAATACTAATATGCTTTAAATCACTACACGTTCCATAAGTGTTTTCTGAGATAAAAACTAACTTAGTTTTGATTATAGGGTGTGGAAAAAATATTTTCCTCAGAGTAAGATTTTTGTAATTTCTCACTTCTACTCCTCTACTGTGGTAATTTCCCACAGTAGACAAAGGAAAGCAGTTGGTAGGGACAGCTGATATGTTTATGGCAAAAGATAGTTTCAACTTATCTAAATTCAGAGCATGAGGCACACAAGACATTTCAAGCGCACAGCTGAGTTCAGAACTTTAAGGTGGCAAATATGGCTCACTGCATAAAACCAGTATCCACTGAGTTACAGATTCTGTCTCTAAGGACCTACAATGGAGGGCAAAGAGAATAACATTAGAATAGGGCACACATTTATTGATACTCCAATATACACATTTCTCCACTTCCATTGGTAGTTTAGCAAATTCCTAAGGCAGATATTACACCTTCGTGTTTTTATAACACTCAGTGACTCCTATGAACACCTAAACAAACCCTGCCTTTCCAGATTATAGAAACTATGCAAGTTACAATCACTTTCTGCAAGGCCACAGAGAAATCCAGGCACTAGAAGATGAAGCCTTCTAGTCTTAAAAGAAAATTTCAAACAAAAAGTAGTATTGCACCCAAAGTCCAGAGAGAGTTATAGACGCATATGCAGTTTGCAGTGTTGCAATGTATGTGCATATAATAGAGCCCTTAATTCCAGTCTTTCTTAACAAAGAATGTGTTATATGTTTATTGCATATATTAGTTATATATTACAGCTCTGTAAAGTCATTCTCATGACTATATGTGTCACACTTTTGTCCTGATTGCTTATGGTACCTTCATAAAAACTAATGACTTAGTAAAGTTAGAATAAGTCAGTATTAAAAGGGCAGGCTCCTGATTCAGCACCTTGTGCTGAAACCACAAACCACAGCACAAAACCACACTGCAACTCTCCCACTGTAAAATCCAGCCAACAATTCTCCTGAATTTCCTGCAAAATTTTCCTCCTTTTTAAAGGAAAATAAGGTCACCAAATTTTTTAATTCCTCCATTTTCCCACTTACCTGACACCCTGGGAGGAGGCAGCGGGTGGGGAAACAGACACCAAAAAAGTACAGCCTCTACCAAACAAAAGGAAAAAGCCCTTCTCCTTGAAAAATTTTGTGTATGTTGTGTATAAAGCACCTGTCACAGGACAGGTATAAGGCACAACTGCAGGAAAATATATTAAACAAATTACCTCTGTGAGAGATCCACAGGGCACTCCACCATGCAAGACTTTATCCAAACTATGCAGCGTGGTAGATAAAAAGGCTGAAGAGGGATTGACAGACTTCCTCAGTTTCATTTCATAAGCCTACAAGAGGAGGAGGAAAAGGCAAAAGAAAGCAAACACACAAATCAGAAAATATATTTTTCTTTTTTTATGGAAATCATAGAATCACAATCAACTAGGTCGGAAAAGACCTTTAAGATCACCAAGTCCAACCAAATAGAAAACTTCTTGCATTTGCTTTCATCAACTTGGAATGACTTAACACTTGCCAGTGAGCAATCTCTTACTATATTCAACTGTATTCCTCCCTTACCTCATCATCCTTCACATTTATATCCCATTTATAGTTCACAGAGTAAATGTAAAAGTTTATCGTGTCTTCCTCATCACAGTATTAAATAATAAGCCTTTAATAATGACGTGTCAAAGGATTTCTGTGCCTCTATTCAACAAGGCTTGCTTTAAACCTGTAAAACTCCAACTTTTAAACAAGTAAACACTATACATGTTACTAGTGACCAACACAAAACAGTACATGAAACCTAAAACCAAGAACTTCCTGGCCAACATTCATTACCAATTTGAAACTACCTGGATTGAAAGAAAGGTTTGCTGAAGATTCCAAGTCTCTGACCAAGCCTCGGGTGATCCCAAAGCCATTCATAATTTTCTACTTTTATAAGCAAGGCTGGTCAAGAAGACAAGACAGGTATAGAGCTGAAAATAGTTGGGACTGGATTAAGATCAGAATTGTAGTTCATAAGCATTATTTTCATTCAGGGGATCAATTTATACCAGAAAAGAAGAAATAAAAAAATGCAAATGCTGATCTGGAAACACAGAACATGAGGTTTCCAAAAGAAACAGGTGTTGCTTACATCTTGCAGACATATGCCAAAACTGATGCCAAAACTGACACATTCTTCAACCACTGAGCATCCTGAACATCAGAAGTTTGATTTGATCTAAAGCTTGTTGCTGTAGTTACAGTTAAGAGCTCTCAAAGTTTTCAGACTCCTGTGCCAATAACAGAGATTGTCAAAGCCCTGTCACAGTGTACTCCCATAGCCTGCCACGACTGACCACTCCAGAACACCTGATTTCTCTAAGCCTTACAGAAATTCAGGCATCAGATTCACCCCAGTCTTAAGATAGTCTGCTGGGAATATAGTGTACCATGGAAGCACCTCTATAGGATTCATCGATAGCTAGGTAAATAAGCACACTATTGAATCCTATGCAGTTTAGTCCATACTTGCTGCGCCAGCAAGTGAGCATTTTTGTTGGAGCTGATCAGAAAGGCTTCCAGCTAGTTTTACCAGCTGGCTGAGGGACAATAGCTTGCACCTTCCTTTTTTTATGCTACAATTCTTCCCATGTTATGACAGGTAGCATATTAGAGTCATATTTGAACTTCATTCAGACCTTCTCTGTTCTTCAGTTCTACTGAGGAGAAATAAATCTGAAAAATAGTTTTCAAGACACAGAACAGGCAAATACAAAACCAATGAATTCTACCTCACTCAAAAGGATCAGAGTTTATGTTCAGGTTCACTTTAAGAGTGAATACTGTATTAATTAAGAAGTATTTGCAACATAGTTCTGTAATTCTTTTGTTCAACTTCTGACAGGACTTAAACCCCATAGATTGGGAAAAAAAAAAAACAAACAACCCACAGAACATGGAAACGATATTCCAGTCTACATTTCCTGACTAACACAAACTCTAAAATTCTACCCTGTGATTTCCATATTTAACCCAGAAAATGAGGGTTGAATCAGACTGTCTTTCAGTAAGAAAATAAAATAAAATTCAACAGTTAAATCAGGAATCTAAGTGAATGGAAAATTACCACATCCTCAGATGATCTTTTCAAATGGTAACTTATGTCAGTTTCTAAGGATTTTCTCATTACTTCTCATTTCAGGGATTTATTTTTTAATTTATCTTCCAGTCACCAAATCCTGTTCGGCTGGACTCTAGAGAAATCTAATATAATTATCTTTTTCTACTCATCATATCATGTGATCAAGTCACCCCTTTACTAACTTGTCTTATAAGCTCTGTAAGCTTCACTCTGTACTTTATACTGGGAAGCAAGTTTTCCAGAAATTAGAGTTCTATTTCAGATTTTGTCATACTCTTAAATTTTGCTCAGTGCTTCCCATATTGTATCTTGCCAGTATTTTCCCCTTACTTGTAACTCCTATTATCTATTTACTTTTTTACTCAAAGACACTGTCAAGAAATTCTTGATGTATCAGTCATGATGTTACCTCAGTCACTCTCACTTGAAGTCCATTTGAAATCCTGTGTTTGCAGAAATTCAATCCACATCCCTTAAAAATAGCCAACATCCTCTGTGCTGGAACTATAGTTCCTTATTTTATGCATGTACATAACTGGTTGTAGCTGGAAGTGTTCAGAAACTGTGCAGATGAGGCCCTCAGAGATATGGCTTATTGGTGGTCTTAGCAGTCCTGAGGTAATGGCTGGACTTGATGATCTTAACAGCCTTTTCCAATCTAGTTGATTCTATGATTCTACCAGCTGGCTCTGTATTAACAGTCCTTGACAACTGCTGTGTGACAAGCTTCAGTATCTGTCCAGCTCCTTGGCAAAGAAATTTGATTGTGTGGTGATGTGTAATTAGCTCACTTTTAATCCACTCAGTACAAGTCATATTAATTCTGCATATCACTAACTTTAATGCAGCATGTTTGTGAATTTAAAGTTTTACAAAGTTCCTATGCCAAATACATACCATAAACTTTGACAGGGTTTTTTTATTTTTTTTAAGAGAAAACAAACAGGCTGTATTGACACAGGTCAGAACTGTCCATGTACTCTCTATTCTAAAAAGGCCCCATTTCTGACATCTTTTCACTCAAATTCAAAAGAAAACAAAATCCTGCCCCTACACTGTACCTAACATCCATTCCTTGTTGCACTTGGCCCAGTTATGCTACCTGCAGCCTAAAACCACACTACAGCTCATTTACATGGAAGGAAAAAATCCTCAGGTTACCTTCAGGATCATTACACTCCTTGACACACATTTTATGTCTAAAAGCAATTTATACTGACATTCTTATTCTCTGCTTGTTTCTAAACAATGTTTTTGTGTTATTTTCTTTTTTCTTTTTTTTTTTTTTTTTTGCAGGGTCCAAATCAGAAGCAATTTTTAGATGCTGGATTGCAAGACAGAATGACGTATTTCCCTATTGCACTAAGAACTGATTCTGCAAGCCTGAGCAATCTCTTGAGGCTATAAAGCCTAATAAAAGTCACTGCATCAAACTAAAGTGCCTCAGAGATCTACCTTTAAAAATAGAAGTAGTATTTTATTGTGCAATTAAACTGAGACATTGCAAACCTCCCATGTAAAAAGATGAGTGACACTGTTCAGCCTTTTCCCAGAAATTGCATCAAAACCAGATGCAAACAACATGCACATACTTACTGTCTGCATTTTGGGAGCACAAGCTCGGCTGACTTTACAAAGAAGCTTCTGCACATCATAGTAGCTCTGCCCCGTCACTTTCATTAGCTCCAAGAAGGAAAGACATAAAAAGTCCTGAAAAATGACAGAAGAGATCAGAGACCACAACCTAGAAATCAAGACTGAGGACTAAACTGATGCAATATACATAACTAGATGGTAAACCCATGGAATGTACACTGTGCGGTCATACACTACTATGCTCTACCTCTCCTAACCTTCTCTGGTATCAGTATGTTAAAAGAAATTGTATTTGTATTTTAAAGAACATGGAGTCAAAGGACCAAGCATTCAAGAGCTGTGTAATAAAATTATAATAGCACCTTTTTGCCCACAGAAGTCTCTATCTACCTAAAAATAACATTCAAAATACAACATGTCTTCTAGATCACAGTCCTAGGCCTAGATCCTGCATTTGTGATGCATACTATTGAAATATATATGGCCTCTTGGCTCTCTTTAGGTGAGCGCATTTGTAACAGGAACTTCAGAACATACTGCTGAATCAACCCCTAACTGGTAGCGTAACTTCACAGCAGGTCCACACACTAGGTTACAAAGTATAAATGTGTTTTGTGAAGTGTTCACAAATTAGTGTCTTACCCAACACAAGTAGTAGCTGCACACCCCTGATAAAATAAAGCAACTCCGGGCTCTTCAGAAGTGAAGGTAGTAAGTACATAGAAGCTTAAATGTTTTAGTTGGGCATCTATCATGTTAAAGCTGTATTTTTACAAGGCAGTAAGCCAGACAGAGTGTGCAAGGACCCTATTTTATAGAAAGTAAAGCTCCCTGTAAATTAAACCTCAAAATAGTAAACAGTATGTGCATGAAAACACACACAGAAATAAAAACCAAACCTGGACAAACAAATAACCACCCCACCCCACCCCCCAAAAAACGTCTGCCCCACAAGTGTAAAATAATCATTTTACCTGACAGGTAGTGATCTGATGGCGACTCAGCCTTTCACACAGCTCCTGAGACAACCTTGCTCTTCTGAGTTTCTTAGCAGCCATGATATCCAGTCTACAAGGCAAACAAACCAAAACTTTAGAAGATGCTTAGAGTATGATTATGTGGACAATTACACCCACTCCTCCATAAAGAACAGGAAAGTTGGTGCACTTGCATGTGTGTCTGTGTATATGTGCTCATATAAAAACGAATGTGATAGATGTAAGTCTATGTTAAATTATATTATCACTCTGAAAGCAGTTGTGTTAAATCATATCCCCTCATATTTGACCATGTGTGAGATCATGCCAGTAGAGTCAGCAATGTTTACAGGACAGGTGTTTTTGGTACATAAGAAAGCTGGAATTTACTCAGTGGTAAACTGAACAAGAACTCCTCATGCTATACTGCAGTGGAAAGAAATAAGGTTCTCTTTGGATGCCTAAACACAAACAATAATCACAGTAAGTACTCAGACCTATAACATATACTGCTAGAACACAACACTTTTCTGGTGACCTGGGATTAGCGACAGATGTTAAAAGAACAGGAAGAACCTGGAAAGGAGACAGCAGAAAGACTGAAGGACTAGAAAAATACTTCAGCATGACTCAACATGGTCAAACTAGTCAAACACACTATGTGACAATTTATAAAACACAGTTAACAAAGACTTCTTTATTTTAGACAGCAGTGTAAAAGAAACCAGAGTCCAAAGCTAAGCATATAACAATGAGAACTACAATGTAAATATTATTTTAAAATTGAACAAAAGTACCACTAATCCAAGGCAGCATCAACTGTGGAATATTCACTCACTCAAAATCACAGAATCATTGAATGGATAGGGTTGGAAAGGACATTGAAATCACCTCGTTACAATCCCCCTTCCGTGGGCAAGGACACCTCGCACTAGACTGTGTCACCCAAGGCTCTGTCCAACCTGGCCTTAAACACCACCAGGGTGTTAAATTGTATTTATTGAGAGTCCTGCTTAAAGCATACCTGATAATTCCAGATAAGCCTTAAGGCTATTTTACGTAGCAAATAAGATTGCACTGCCACTAGGAATCCTTCTCCCCTTAGCCCTCAGCCATTTGCATTGGTCGCCGTTTTTTCTTATGAATTACATACTACTGAACAAAACTCCACAGGACAGTATTCAGCCCAGTACGACCTAGAGCACATGCTTTCCTAACCTACATGTATATTCAAGCACATAAGACTGTTTCACACGTATTATTTAGGCAATATCCCTGGTATTTAATTAGCCCTAGGCTTAGGGAAAATAAAAAGGCCTTTAAATAATGCCAAATCGCTACTTCTGCAGATGCACAGGCCTCACATCTTCACAAGATGGAAACTTCATTGTGCCCTCTACAAAACCTTCTTTAGACAACAGGAAAATCAAAGTTTTGAGAGTTCCGTGCCCTTCGAGTTGCCAGCTGCATTAACAACTACACAACCTGCACACTACCTCGCACATGACAGTGTTTTTACATAAACACCACAAACCGCTGAGGCACAACCTCTGTCAACTGACTGAGGCGACCACAGTGCTCCCCAAGGAGCACTGTCCGTACCTTCGGCGGCCCCGGGACCGGCAAGCAGACAAGGACACCCATGAGGTGGTAAAACGCACATATACCGGCATGAACTTACACAAAAAGCTGCAGGGGACCTTGACATTAGCACTTCGCCTGGAAGGAGAAAACACACTTATAGCCCCACCCCTTGAAGGTGAGCACCGGCGGACACCCTCCCACCGCGCAGCCTAGGGGCTCAGGCGCTAGCGTGCCCCATCGCTGCGGGACCCGGAGTTGCCTGCACAGCCGGCACTCGCGCCTGGCCCCGGCAGCGCCGCGGGCACCTGAAGTCCCGCTCCCGCCGCAGCTGCGGGCTCCCCGCGGGAAGGGGCCGGGCCGGGCCGGGCCGGGAAGAGCACCGTGTACCTCAGACCTTTCAAACCTTCCCGGCGGCGCGCGCGGGGCGGGCGGGGCCCTGGGCAAGGCCCTCACTCGCGATTGGCTGCTCTTCCCGCCAATCCCGCCGCACCCACGAGTGGCGGTGGTGAGCAGTGCATGCTGGGAGCTGTGCCTCCCGGGCGCGCGGGAGGGAGCGCCCTTCAGCTCCCCACTTCCGCGGCCCGTGGTGGCGGCCTGTGTGCTGTACCGCATAAAGTTCTACACGTAAAGCACCTACCGAACCGGGAAACCTTCGCCATGGAGAGTGCTATGCATACGTTCATTTATAGTAAAGAGGATTTGAATGCTGATTCTTTAAGTTGAGGGCTTACAGACATCAGGTCTGCTGTCAGGTGTGGGAGAAATGCCTTCTGACTGAAGTGATCACCCTGTAGTGTGAATGTGACAGAGAGCATCAGTCAACAAACGTGGCTGACACGACTTTACTCATGTCTGCAGGATGAGTTTTCCAAGTCACTCTACCTTGTCCTAAAAAGGGCACCAAGTACTGCATGTATGTTGTCTGCATAATCTTTACAATTCCAGAAATTAACCTATCTGAAGGAAAAAATGGACCAGTATTACCTGTGACGTTTACTGAAGGCCTGTGCTTTAACAACCACAGGGCTGTAGCTTTGTCTGTACTGAAAAAGAAAGGCTACTCTGAAGATGTGAAATACAGAACACTTCAGCCGCTTTCCCAAATGTAGCAAGGAGCTGACTATCATGAAATGCCCAACAACTGTAGTATCAAAAAAGGCTCAGTGGAATTAGTGTTTCCTCCATACGCTGAAGTGAGGGAGCTTACATGCCCAAAGAAGTACAGAGGGCTTAAGAAGCTGGACAAGGAGTAAGCAGCCCACACGAAAGCAACTCGGAGCTTTACTGGGTAGCCAGCTAACAGAGATAGATGACATGGAGGAAGAGCTCCTCCTAGTGTAGTTGGCCTTTAAAAGTTCACTTGAAAAAACAACTCACAACTGAGAAAAGCTGTCGAAGGGAACGCAAAGGATGTCTGTTGCTGCGAGTTAGTATCAGTGGAAACAAGAGGGCATGACCATAGTATAACTGTGTCACAGAGCAGTACTTCCTGCTTCGCACAGGGGTAGCAGTAGCCCTACCTTCCAACCAGAGCTGCAGGAAAAAGTAACATTGCCATGCTGACTTTTGTCCCTCCCACAAATGAGCAGAGCTTCCCCTTCACCTCCAAGCCAATAGGCTTCCTTACCATCTTCTACAGAAACAGAATACCTGTATTAAACCAGAGAACCGTTTTGGGATTTTGTTGAGCGAGGAAAGCAAATCTTACCAACCAAGTCCTGCAGAAGATTTGAGACCAAAACCAGTACTCCCTGGTGCCTCTCCTGCAAGATACATGCATTCTCAGTGGAGTCATGACTGTTCCACTCTCTACTTCTCAGATACACAGATATCCCTTTAAACCTGCTGACGAATAATCATGCACCATCTTCTCTGTGTAACTTTCTCAAGTTACTGTTATATACCCAGAGGATAATCAGGGGAGTGTTCACATATGCTTAGGCACTTCAGTGTTCGTAAGGAGCAACACAGAAGGCAGCTCCACAGCTTCTGTATGTTTGCCGAGGGCACTAGTCACTAGAGAATTAGAGCTCTCTGCAAACAGCTCTGCTCTGTGACCTCGGTCAAGCCCTGTAATGATAGGGTATCTGCTTTCCTTCTCAGTTTTGGTTTTACCTATTTAGACTGTAAACAAAGTAGTGCCAGCCCACTAGACATGTGTCAGGCATGATGCAGCAGAGAGCTGCTCTGGTCTAAGCTTTTAGCTGCTCCTGGAACTTTAAATAAGAAGAGATTAATAAAGCTAAGAGATGATTATAAGAACTGAGCTTCACCACATTAATTTAAGAAGGTCCTTTAAATCAGCAACACTGGAGCAAGACTTACAGAAAGGCGAAGCATAACAGCAACAAAGTCTCACAGAAGGAGAGTGCTCTCACATCAGACACACCAATTAGAATAAAAAGGGGAATGGTGATTAGCTTGCTAAGGGGTAAGCCAAAAGGGACTGAGTCTGATTTGAAGGACACAGAATGAAACTTACCAGTTCTGATCCAAATAAATATTCAGCAGTTAAGTAATTCTGCAAGCCTCCAGAACTGAAAAGATAATGGCAGTTTCTTTCCTTTCTGGAATAGAATCCACAGAAAGTTTCTTCCTCAAACCCAAGGCAGCCTTCTGTGAGCTAATAGAGATTATCTGTGAGATAATAGTTTTGCATTCTGGAACATTTCAGGTCATTCACTTAATTACTGAAATAGCTTTAGCTCACTGATACTGACTGCAGTCCTTGGATTTATTACTATTTACCAACCATTAATTCTTGCCTTAAAATTAGCAGTGTTACCCAACCCCTGTGAAAGGAAAGTGTCTCCTCAAAAGAGTTTAAACTATGAGAACACAGCAACAACTCTGACTCACAAGTGTAATTCAGATATTCAGAGCAATTCCCCACCTTATGCTTTCTGACTAATGTCTAATTAGTCAAATATATTCTTACTCCATTGGGTTATCTACTTGATGCCTACCACATTCTTTAAAAAAACCCACAACCAAACACCCATGTGCTTCCAAGACTAGATAGCAATTATAGAGCAGCCCATGCTTTCCTGGGATTAGGGTCCCAGTGGTTCCTCAATAACAGCACACAAACAAACCTCCAATGAATTATTCTCTCTGTTGCTGTCTCCCCAAAGGAGATGCAGATTTACTTCCAACCCTTTGAGGTTCCCACATCTCAAAAAAAAAAGGCAAATTAAAGGATCTCACAGGGAGAACTGCATCCTGGTTAAAAATGCATTTTTTTTCCACGCTGCTCATATCAGCACAGCTTTAGCAAAGCTACTTCACTTGAGACTTTCATCTGCATCTGCTCCAGGGCTGGGTAGAGGGAAGGGAAACCTTTTCTGTTGTTTTTACAAGCTGCTCAGCACAACCTCACTGTTATCATTGGCTGTAATAAACAGATCAAGAAAAACAGACCTGTGAAAAATTAGCTCATCTTCTCATTCTGACTGACTCTCCCCCTCCCTCAATCCTCTGGACTGTCTGTGGATCAGATAAATGGTTCTCCCCAGGCAATTAACCTTTTTCCTGTGGCTCAGGAGGGATTAAGCCAAATTATGATGAATTCTCCTCAGGTATTAGTGAGGACCTGTGTAACCACACACATTTACAACCAGGAAAAAGCAGCCTTTTTCTCAGGACAGACAGAAGGCATTTCTCTGTTTTCTGCCTCTCCACATGTGCCACTGGGGATTCAGAATTACCCATCACCCCCAAAACCATTTCAGAAATGCTCAGCAGCCGTGTAGAGTTTTTGAAAGAGAGCATCTGGACCTCCTACCCTTTTTACAGAAAAGCAGACTAGCCACTTTCACTGCTGTTATAGGCAGGACAGGCTCACCTGCACATTACAGCTTTGGCAAATTCAGCTGCATTTGCTTTCTGCCCAAACTACAGCAAACAAAATGAGAGACCTCAGGGATTATTCCACTTTTAGCCTGCACTCATCTAAGCAGATTACCTTCCAAGATCAGCTTCCTACTTCATTTAGCTTTTTCTGGTTAAAGGGACAGCAGGAATCATTCAAGTCTTTGGCCTCGTCATATTTCCATGTTAAGTTTCTGTTAGATGAGAAGGCCATAAACTGATAGAATGGCAGCATAATAATCAATATGGAGTTGTTGATACCAGAGCAGATCTTTACCCATACCTGCTAAACCAAATTTACCTTACATAACCCCCCCCTCACCTCCTCCTGCCTTTCAACTGTGCCCTACCAGCACCCCTTTTTTACTGCCCTGTCTTGAGTTTGCTTATTGAGGCACTGGGGTTGTCCCAGTAGTGATGTCTGCAATCACGAGATCTTACCACTCCTGCCACAAATTTTTCTGTAACTTTCCCTGGGATGCTGAGGTAAACCAAGAAATGACAAATATCAGAGCAGTAGGCTTTTAGTAGCATTGCACAAAGCAGATAATATCTAACCGAGGTGATCCTTAGGTACCCGCTGCAGCTTTTTGTTGCTAAAGCATGGAAAAACTACAATATTCCCTGTTACTCAGAAACTTGAACTATATTTAGACTTCAGTCCTGTGAAGCACATCTGCTTCACTATGACCAGTGAATAAAACTCAGTAGCTCAGTGGTTCCCCTTTGATCAGCACAGTTCTCTGGGGATGTGTGCATCCAGCATGTCACCCTGTGATCCGTCACAGCAGCCAGCCTCTATTGAGAAGACGCAATTAGACTAGAAAATTCCAAGCACCTCACAGCAGCCATCAAAGTGCACTGTGTACCCCTTGTCATCACACACAGTCAGACACCATGAAATTAGTACTGATGGTGCCTAGGTTTAGCAGTCATGGTAGGACATCTGTTGCTTTCAGGTGCAGCCCTCGCTCCATCTGCAGAGTTCTTCAGTCAAGAAAGAGACAATGGGAGCCCTTGGACTTTACTGGGAGATGAGCTTTTTTGCTTGGACAACACCAGCAGAGAACAGTACATCCCAGACCCACTGTACAGTTGCAAGAAATGGGGGTGCCCCTGGAAAAAAGACAGACCCATTCACGTACAGTGTCACAAAACCCCAATAACCCCTGATGTGAATATTTTTTGTTCATCTCCCTGCCTGCGGAGGCATGTTCCACATCAGTAAGACTGCCTGGGTTTTTTGGAAGAAGTCTGCACTTTATTACATGACAGATTCATGGCTCTGATAACCCAGCAACTGAACCGAGCGCAATAGCTCTCATTTCAAACAACAAACACACAGACCAGCAAACAAACAGAGCCTGGAACATTTCATTCCATGAATCTTTTC